TGTTTATGTGTATTATTCCTACAGCTTTTTGGAAGATTTGTTTTTGCTCTTGTGTGTAACTACATTTCAGGAAAATCATCCAAATAAATGAAGACTTCATAATCAAATTCAGCATACAATCCTTTGTAACATTGGAAGTTTTTAAATGTTATTAAGTTTGCGAGGGAGTAATTATAATTGAGGTGAATAAAACCAACCCACCACGACTTTAAGGAGATCTTACATAAAATTTGTATCATCATATGGGACGAAATCTAATTCGTACGGAAACGATCAGGTCAGATTATCTCTAGTAAAGAGAATTGCGACATGAGTCTGAAGGAATTTTCTAAGTCCTGATCATCCGGACGAATTATTTGTCGCCTAGACCAAGTTAGACTCTGGTAAAAATTTTTGTCTAGATGAAATCCAAACTCGTCCCGGACGAAGTATTCTCTGTACAAAATTTTTGTTCACACGAAATTCATAATTTGTGCTAGGATGATTGGGTTTAAAATTTTCGTCAGTACGAAATCCAAATCGTCCCCTGATGAGTGTCTTCTCTGTAAAAAAATTCGTTCAGATAAATACATAATCATGCCAGGACGAGTTACCCCTCATGTAAAAATTTTGTCCGGACAAAGTCCTGTTGCGTCCAGGCGTGGGAAACCGACTTAAGTAATTGGTTTAACATCTGTGGAATTTGGGAACGACCTATGAAATAACTAGTTTTGTTCGCGAACTAGTTCGACTGGATCGATGATCGTGTACGAACATAGTTGAATTCCATAGATTATTTCGGATAACTTTAATAAATCGATCCAGGATGATGCCACGATCATAACGAGAGACCATTTCGTGTTGACTGAATATTTGTAAATTTTTGGAGGTTATTCTTTTTCTCTTATTAAGTGTCCATATTTTTACTTCCACGCAACTCCTTTGGTCATTATCTTTGTGCCAATTGGAAACAGAAGAGTCAATGAGAGAGTGTGCAGAGTGCATTCAAAGGGATTCTTCCACATGGCGTGAAGGCTTCGCTTGGTTTTTCAAAGGTAAGAATTCTACTTGTGATTTGGGGATCTTCACTCTTTTCTTTCTTCCTTTCAGAATTTTTGTGAGAAGATCTTGTAAGGAGATCTGGTTCCTGTCGACCACTTGGAAAGTGTGAAACGCGCGGGTTCTTGCCCACACTAGGAAGAGTGTGAAGAACCGAAGGTTCTATGCCCACCTAGCATGAGTGTGAAGGATGAAGTGGTTTCCTGCCATAATCTGGGATAGTTAAAGGCGGACAGTTCTCTGCCGACTGGGGATAGTGTTGGAAAGGATGACGGTTTTCTCTGCCAGACTGGGATAATGTAAAAAAGACGACGTTCTCTCAGCCAACTACGGGTAGGGGGGGGGGGGTGAAAAGATTTTGTAAGGTTTCTCTGCCTTGCTGTTGGTGCTAAAGGATGACTCACGTAGTGGTAATAATACAATATCTCGGAGGGTGCTCCAAGGAGTGGATGTGGTCTGGTTTTGACCGAACCACTATAATCTTGGTGTCATTATTTTTTTGCTATTTTTATTTTGCTGATTTACTGTTTACAACTGATGGTTGAAAACTATCTTCTACAAATTCTTAATTCTTAAATATCGTTTATAATTAACTCAAAGAGGGATTAATTTTTTAAATACAAATTCACCCTCCCCCCCTTCTTTGGTTAGCCGTGGAACATAACTTAGGCTTAACACCTAATTCATAGTGAACGAGTTTCTAACAAGTGGTATCCAGGCATTCGTTTCAAAATCATAAGTTTAGACTCATTTTTGTAATGTAGATGGCTAATTGGAACCAAAACCCACCTCGAGGTTCTCTATACATAGACTCCACTGTTTGACGATTACCTTTTGATTTGAAAAACTCGGCATGTCTACTTTTTTACATCATGATTATCAATATGCTGGTTTTAGGAAGGATATACAAAACTACTAGATTATTTTGACAGAGTTTAGTGAAACATTTTGCAGACTGGCATAAAAAACTTGATTAGCACAACTTAAATGCAATGCTTGAAAATTCGAACAATAATATTTGGAATCATCAAAACTATACAAGTTGCAAGAATGTAAAACATGCAAATTCCAACTCTCTTAACAAAATATACCTTGCAATCCTAGTTTTCCTTCAACACCCAAGAACACTAGGGCAGCCGGTGTGAGATCGACAGCGGCAAGACAGCGAACCTTCGAGGGCGGCCGGTGTGGCTTCGGCGGCCGGAGAGAGGTCGTCGGCCGGAGAGAGGCTGCTCGATCAAGCGCGAGGCGAACAGAGGCGAAGGCGGAGGACGGCCAAAGTGAGAGAACAGAAGAATATAAATGAAATGGGAGGCTCGGGCCTCTTCATTTTAGGGCTTAAACCAGCGGCTTTCCGGCGGCAGAAACCGTCGATAATGAAATCACTTAACAACGGCGGTGTACGCCGTCGTTATACCGTCGTTATTTTTGACAGCCGGCGGTTTCACCGGAGGTCAAATGACTGCTGCTAGTTCCAGTGGCATCAACTTAAATAACCATCGATAGGCCGCCGGTACTAACCGGCGGCCAAACCGTCTCCTAAACCACCGTTAATACCGGCGCCATGTAAAATCGCCTCATGCCGCCCCGGTAGCAGCCGGCGGTTTTAAAAAATCTTATCAATGTAAAGGGAGTCGGGTTATAAGAAACCCTTCGTGGAGTTACAATCTAGACCAGTAACCATTGTCACTATCGATATATTTAAATTCGTTAACGTTTGAACCCTTTCTGATGATCAATTAAATGTTGCAGCCGATATCATTGATTAGTGCTTAGGGGGGGGGGGGGGGAGAGAGGGGTGTCGGATTGATTTTTTAAAATCTTTTGCTTAAAGTAAATAAGATATGCAAAATAGAATGATTTAATAGAAACAAACTATTCAAACTAAACCACAAGCAATTAATTTTTTATTTATTTTTAATTTCATAAATAAAAAAACTTCAACAAAAAATTTATCACTTACAAATTTCTTCCACATAAAAAGTCAAGAATAAACAAAAAAAAAAATCGTTCACCAAGATAACCAAACATAAAATCAAGAAATCTTTCACAAGGATGATAAAAAATTAACTAGAGGGCAAAAAATAAATTGTAAGAAAATAAATACATAGTAAATGTACACAAATTAAATTTATAATAGTTCGGTCGAATCGACCTAAATTCACTCTCTAAAGATCTTCCTCTTTGGGTATTACGTAACTTTGACTTAGGCTTTGTCTGAGATGACTTTCTTCATGCTTTCTAAAACAGCTTTCTAATAAAAAATATAAAAAAAAAATTCTTAAATTAAAATTTTTGTACTAAAAAGCTTTTTAAAATGAAAAGCCTTAGACTCATATAAATCAATTTTAGCGAAGAAAGTAAGCACTTTTTTTTATTTTGGGGAAAATTTTCAAAATAGATTTGATTAAAAAATAAATTGGGTTACTGTAAAAAATCGCATGTTTTGCATTATAGCTGGCTAAGTCAGTAGCCAATTACCCATTTGACAGGTGATTTTGCCTACTTTTAAATTTTTTACTATAAGTAATTATATAATTAAGTTTATAATCACATCTAGTTTAAAAATTTATCCTATTTTGAGATGGTCATGATAAGCTAGAATTGTTTTAATAAAGAAAAAATGGTAGAAAAACCTTATTAGCATACTGTAGCAAAGAGAAAGAAGTAAAGATGCGAGACATTTTTCCAACAGTAGCTTAAAACCAGATATCGGAATAATATCACCGCGAGTGCGTCGATCCTATTCATTCAAAAGTAATCAACGGTCCACAGCTAGAGGGCCCCACCGGAGATCGTCCTCTTCCTTCTCTCGTTACCGTTACAAGGCCATTCTATGTCTCCCCATTCAATCCAGTTTCCTCTCTCTATACCCCGCACATTTCTTTCTTTGCTCGCTCGTTGCAATGCCTCCAGAAAAATCTCCTTTTGGTTCTCTTCAGAAGCTAACGGGGTTGGCTTCCTTCATTCTTAGCCGGAGATTCAACTCTTCGAAATGGTACCCAAGCACTATTTTTCTCTTTCCTTTTTACTCTTTTTTTGTGCCGCAGCCGTTTTCTTCGCTCCTTTCCTTTCTGATTCTGATTCTGCTGAAATAAATGGGCAGCAAGACGGAAGCGAATCTGGTTTCTGCTAGAATCAAGCTTCTGAGGAACAAGAGGGAGACGCAGCTGAGGCAGATGCGGCGCGACATTGCCATGCTTCTCCATTCTGGCCAGGAGGACACTGCCCGGATACGGGTACCGCGTTTCAAACCTGCTTCGTTTACTTCCAGTTGAAGCCATATTTTTTAGTTTAGTATTTTGAGGATTTGTATTTGGTTGCTAGGGTTTAGCTTTTTGAGGGATCACCGCCAAAATTCTGATTCCGTTGGGTTTTAGGATTTGTTTCTAGGAAATTTGTTTATGGGAAGGTGTTTTAAGTTGTTCAAGAACCTTCTTTTATTCAAATGCAGCTAGTGTTGTTATTTAAATGGTTTGCTTCTCTTAGTTTGAATGTAAGCACCACTTACTCTAGCTTTTTAAGTTAACTGTTCTATCCATTCCTTTCATCAAATTCCGCACTATGAATGATGAATCATTAGAGTTAAATGAACTCCGTAAATTAGAGTGAAGCTAGAAGTATAGCGTAAATGATAAATGGAAAAATGCTGGATAATGGTGTTGGTCAGGGGCTATAATTGAAATTCTAGATTTTTTTTTTAATTAAAGTTGGGCTCTATAAAATAATAAGATCATATGAGAGAATTGAAACAAGATCTCAGACCATTCAATTTACTAAGTTGTTGCTTGAGGAAAATCAAACAGATTGAGTGAAGATTGATCTTGATTTCCTTAGAACATTTTTCATTCCTACACACAAAAGTTAAGTAAAATAAATAGCGAGACACATGATTTTTCATGTGAAAATTTCTTGGAGGGAGAAACCACTATGCCTTGCCAGCCATCAAAGGCTTCAATTTAGGCCCTCATGCGCATTGGTTGTAAATATTGTAGACTCGGGCAATAATTAGAGCTGAAATGTACTTTTTGGAAGCTAAGATACAATTCTTGTTGTAGATGATTGCAATGCAACTGAGTTTGTAGCAATAACTACCACACAAACAAGGTTATGGCATAGGCCTTGAAGGAAATAGTTGAGACATGGTTAATGCTGTGACGCATGTCTTATGGGAGAAACTTATAGGGAAGTTCTATTGGAGACTTCTATGATGTAACCAAAGTTGTTGCACAAGTCTTAAGGAAGTCATCCATTGAATTAGTGAGGTGCGATATAGGTCTTGCGATGAAATGATGATAAAGATTTGAAGACTTGTGAAAGAAGAACACAAGCAACGCAATAATACTAGCTAAAAAGTAATCGAATAACCTTTGTACCCTTACCAAAGAATAAGTATCACTCTCATCCCCAAGGTTAACGAGTTTGTCACCAAGTTAAGTTTTGAAGAAGATAGAGTAATCTCAATTGAAATTCAATCTTACAACATAGTCTTCCTTTGCTATTAAAGGATTTGCATCATGACGAATTTTATGAGCTATAAGAGTAATAAAGTATAAAATTATATAAGGATTCATCATTTATAAAATTATATAATTATATGAGTGCTTATCATTCAACCCTTCATATTTCAAAGGTTCATGTGAAACTTGTAAATTTGTCTATTCTATTCTGCCTTAGCTTACCACTCTCGCTCCTCTTTCTTCCATGGGACAATAGCTTTTTCTCTCCTCAAAAGTTTGCTATAGGGGAAGCTCAATATAACTATGTACTTGTAACCTTCATATGTGGTCAAAAAGTCAAAAAGGGCTAATTCCATTTTCTTATCATGATATCATGCATGAATTTAATGTAAATTACATTTGGAGATGGTAACAACGTTTTGAAAACCGGACCGGACCGGCCGGTTCAACCGGTTGAACCGGCGCCCGACCGGCCGGCCGGCTCGGTTCACAAATGAAATCGGGATAACAAAGAACCAGCTTTGAACCGGTCCGACCGGCGGTGGGACCGCGAACCGGGCGAACCGGAAACCGGGAAAGAACCGGACATGTGATCTTAACGCGAATTTCAGCCGTTCGATTGAAATCAGGCGGTATTTGAGGTTGGGTATTAGTGTGTTAACGTATTAGAAAACCTGGTGTAAACCTAATATCGTATTCTTCTCCCGTAACTCCTAAAGCCCGCCTCCTCAAATCGTCTCTGCAGCTCCTTCGTCACTGTCGTTCGACGCTGCAGCTGTTCCTTCGTCGCTGGCGGCGTGAGTCTTCTTCTCATCGGAAGGGAAGAATCTCGCGATTTCAACCACTCGGTTTAACAACGTAAGTGTAAACCTAGTTTTGTTTTCTACCTCCCGTAACTCCCGAAGCCCACCTCCTCAGATTTTCTCCGTTAGTCAATGCAGCTCCTCCTTCTTCGCTGCCGGCCGACGCTTCCGTTCGACGCTGCAGCTGCTCCTTCGATGTTGTGAGTCTTCTTCGCTTCTTCGGTTCTTCCTGTAATTTTCAAGATTCGGGATTTCAACCGCTCAGCTAATGAAAATTTTTAAATGTTCAGGTCTAAATTGTCTCTTTTTCTCCACTTGTTGATATGTTTTGTTTTTCTCCTTTTATTTAATTAGAAATGCTTTTTCTTTGCTTTGGTTTGACTATAAGTTTTGAGTTGATGTACTAATTGAAGAGATGCTTCGTTGAGACTGAACTCTTCTAACCAAAAAAGAAATTACAAAAACATGAACAAAGAGTACATCTCCATATGAACTCTTCTAACCAGTTCTTAATTTGGGATTCTGCTTACCACAAGAACAATTCTTCTCAAATAACATAAAGAACATTGGCATAGAAATCAAATTGTTTATCATAGAATATTGAAATAAATCAATATTATTTACTTAATAAACAATATTATTATTTATTACGTCATCCGGTTCGACCCCGGTTCGACCGGTCCAACCGGTCGAACCTTGAACCTCTCCTTCAACCGGTTCGTTGTCCGGTCCGATTTTCAAAACGTTGGATGGTAATGGTATGTGTGCAAAAATTCTCTTTTGCCTCCCTTTTTTTCTCTTAAAAAATAATAATTTCATGATAATAAGCTTATGTCCTGATAATAAGCTTTTTTATTTAATTTATGCAAGACTATATTATTTCCTTATCGTCATAGCTTATGTTTCTCTTCTGTGAACTATAGGTACTGTTTTTGATAGATCAACTCCCATGGACTCAAAATATCTCTTCCTTGAAGATATTAAGTCTAGATAATTATCCACCAGATTATGAATTAAGCTCTCTAGCTCCTTAATAGTCAACATAATGTCTTCTGGAATAAGCTGATCTTTCCAACTTAAAAAGAATCTACGCTAATCAATGTCATCTATGGCGGTTTCATCTTATATAATATCCACAGTTCATCTACTCCATTGATGGCCATTACTTTGCTTGTTTAAAATGGCTATTATTTTGAGTAATTGAGGATTAGATTACTTGAACTTAAGTAGCACTTTGGTTGTTTCTATTATCATGATTTTTTATCTTTCAATTTTATAGTATTTCATATTAATACATATTTTTATTTATAATTATTTAATATTATGTGGTATCTTTAAAAGAGTGTGTGTCGCACTGTATGCTATAAGCTATAACTCTATGAGGAACTTTGCACTATGTTGCGTAGATTGTTGTTGACAAGTATACTTGTGATTGGATTATGTGCTTTAGGAGTTGCAGCTAGTATATTATATTGTCAGAGATAGATGTGGCATAATTAAGATTGTTGGCATGGCTTGTGGGAATTTATTGCAGTACAAGTTGTGACACACAAAGATTTTGTAGGCGACAAGTGCGACAAACAAGATTACTATTAGAGGTCTTGCCGGAGTGACTACAAGTCACACTACAGGAAAATCACCATTTCCGGCGGCCTTTTCCGACGGAAATTGAGCCTTTTCCGGCGGTTTTTCGGTGGTTAAAATGCTGCTGGTAAAGCGCCGAAAAATGAACTGCGTTAGTTGGGAAGAAATTCAAGCAACTGACCGAATTGCTAAATGTGTAAATACGTTTTTTTGTCAATATTTTTTATTTAAACTATATTCTTGTCGTAAATAAATTAATTTTTAATTATTAAAAACTCTGTTTTAAATTGCGCAACAAGAGGCGCGCTTCTGCGCAATTTGCCCAAAATACGCCTCGAGGCTTACACAATTTTCCTCTTGGCAGAGGCGTATGCCTCACCGGGTCTGAGGCGCAACCCTAAGGCGTAATTGCGCAATTATAGGTGAGGCGTACGCCTCATTAACCCGGTCCCACGGTGGGTTAAAATTCACTGCACCAATCAGTATAAGCTATTCGACCACTGTTTAAACTTCCAGTACCGAGCTTATTAATCGAGCTAGAATTCGAGCTCGAGCTCGAGCTCGAGTTCGAGCTCATTGAGGTTTAAACGAGCCAGGCTTGATAAGCTAGATACTCGACTCGACTCTGACTCGTTTACACCCTGACTCCCACCTACAGACGAGCTCCCGCATGCTCGGCCTCCCTTCCCGCCAACTGCTAAAACCATTAAATTCTCATTTACGCAATTCTGCGTCCGTGAGGCCCTGCCTAAGCCACCTTTTAAAATTTATTCATTTTTCTTTAATTTTTTTAAAGCCGCTAGAAAATTGCAAAAGCCACCGGAAAGTTCCGTGGGAAAATATCGCCGGAAAAGTGCCAAAAAGCCGCCGGAAAAGTGTCCATCGAAACGCCGCCGGAAATTAGTGATTTTCCTGTAGTGTCAAGCGAGGTTGTAATGCAAGATTTTTGGAGATGGCTGCTGAGCAAGTAAGGTTGTGACTTAAATCTTGATGGAGATCACAACTAAGCAAATGAGATTGTTAAAGGCTATGACAAGCTAAGAGGGAGGTGATGTAAATTTGGTTTTTTAGTATTTTATTCAAACTTTAAAATTTAACATAATTGTGTGTGTTCCAAGGAATGAAAGTAAGTAAAAAATATCACGAAAGCAATTAAATAGGGGGAATTTAAATGCAAAATTAAGATAAAAATGACAAAAAACTGATTTATAATAGTTAGGTCCCAACCGACTTACGTCCACTACCCACTCTGAGATCTCCTCGTTTCACTAATCTACTCTATAAATTGTAGCTGAAGAAGCCTCCTTTGAATCTCTCCTTTACCCAGCGGAGAACCCTATTGTTTCTTTTTCAAGGAAAGTAGCAATATGTGAGAAGTGAGAAGTAAACTACTCCTAACACGAGCCACTATGTTGTGATAAATTTATTAAACTGAAGTTTTGAGAATTAGATCCCAAACATACAAAGTTCTTCCAAGCTCTCACATGGTTGTATGACAAACCTATTGTAGCCATACATGTAAGAAATCTGTATTGTCAAACCACTAATCATGTTGTTGTACTGTATTGTCAAACCACTAATCATGTTGTTCTACTGAATTAAAGCTCTTCTAAGATGAAGCTGCATAGTTTAACTAATACTAGCTATCAATGTACCTTGTGAGGAATAAAGAAAATCAGGCCAGCATTCAAATATTTCCAGAAAGCTATTTAACTATCTAATTTTATAAATCACTCTTTCTTGTGCTTGTGTATGTTGGCATAAATTATATGCATATAAATATGGATAACAGCCAATAGTCCATGCGTATAGCGGACATAAGAGGTGGTAAACCTAGTTTCAATGCTGTTTTTAATCTGTGAAGAAATCTAAAAGAGGGGAGCTTCCCTGTAGGTTGAACATGTTATTAGAGAACAAAAGGTTATGGCGGCAAATGAGGTCATCAACCTTTTCTGTGAACTTATTGTGGTTCGTTTGCCAATCATTCAAAAGCAAAGGTATGCATTTATTATAGTTTTTCCTTTTTTTCTTTTTTTACTTCAAACTATATTAAACATGCAATCTTAAATAATCTTTACTCCAGGGATTGCCCTGCAGATCTCAAAGAAGCTATCTCCAGTGTGATATATGCGGCTCCAAGATGCTCAGATATTCCTGAGCTTTCTAGAATTCGTGACATTTTTGAGAAGAAGTATGGAAAGGATTTTGTGTCTGCTGCAACTGATCTGCGTCCGGAATCTGGAGTAAATAGAATGGTAAGTAGTAAATGTTGTATTATCATTTATTTCATATAATTAGAGATGCAATTGTATTCTTCTAGTGCTCATCAGAATGGCTATGGCCTCTTCTTTTGCTTCTAATCTTGTTCAGTTTCTAATCTTGTTCAGTAGCCAGAAAGAAATGATAGGCTCAAGTATGATTAGGTTGCCTCCATTTTGACGTGAGTAAGGGTTCAAGTCACATAAATAAACTTTTTGGAGTAAGATTTGACTAATCTATCCCAGCATTGAAGGAAAGAGTTTTGTAGTTTTATAAACTATATAGGAGTAAAAGTTTTATAGTTTTTTTTTAACAGTAAGAGTTTTATAGTTTTATGTAGGCCCTTCTTAAGCAAGCAAATTATTTCTATTGATCTATTTCTACTTGACAAACTTTATAGTCAATTATTTTCTCTCCTCTGCTTAATGTACTTCAATTAATAGTAGCTTCAATCATAAAGTCCTGAGGGATATTATTTCATTTAAAACTTGCTAACGCTTGCATCTGTTTAGTAAATTCCTTGATAGAAAGAGGAAGCCCACTCCTGTATATTTTAGTGAATAAATTTACATATATTGCAAGAGAAATTATGCAAAAAGAAGATATCGATCTGATCTGTTTTTTTTTTTTTTCACTTCGTTGAAGCTTATTGAGAAGTTATCAATTAAAAAACCAGCTGGTGATGTGAAGCTAAAGGTCTTGAAAGAAATAGCGAAGGAATATCAGATAGAGTGGGATGCAAAAGAAACTGAGCTTGAGCTTCTTAAACCTCCTGAAGAACTACTTGTATGTTTAAACGCAAACAAACAGGAAGGCATGTTTTGACATATTTTTTACTCGCTGAATTTCCTTTCTTTTTTTTTTTTTTTTTTTTTTTTTTTTTTTTTTTGCTACAGGAAGGACCACGCACATTTGTTAGTGCCAGTAGCTTCCCAATCAAGTCTAACCTTCCACCTCAGAATGTGCAGCTGAAGGAACCCACCCTCAGGTTTACATCTGCCCTATTTTGGTTGTTTCCTTGCGTGAATATTTGATGCGCAAAAGCAACTTCTTTTTTTGATTTCAAGTTAACGAAGCAAATTAACTGCTTAGTTCAATATCTGCAGAATCCTGCTGTGAATTAAATTGGCATAAATTACAAACGCGTTCTTTTTGCAAATCATGCATCTTAGAATGCAAATGGCCTTTTTTTTTTCTCTTTTTCAGTGACAGCGAAGGATCTTCTATGCATTTCAAGGACACAGCCTCAGCTGCACAAGCAGCTGCAGAATCTGCAAAGGCGGCAGCCTTTGCTGCTCAAGCTGCAGCTTTCCTTGCCCAGCAAAGCTCTAATGAATCAAGAAGGAATTCCTTAAATTCCACAAATTCTACCGGGAAAAGATTTAGCTCTCAAAGCTTTAATGCATCAAACCATATGGATGATGAAGATGATGATGCTGATGACTTTAGCAATAAAAAGATTCTCAGAAGGAACAGCTCTATTGGGCGCAGATTCCATGGTGATATTAAATTTGATGAATCTGATGGATCCAATTCAGAGAGCGAAATAGAAGTTGCAAAAGAAACCAAACATTCAGCAGAAAGTCATGGCCCCCCAGCAAGGCGGGCTCCAAATCCTCCTAAAAGCTCAGGATGGCAAGGAGATAAAGAAACAGCAAGCAACTGGTCAGCTAATTCGGTTCCTCATATCCATCCAAAGCTCCCTGATTATGAAGAAATAACAGCTCGATTTGAAGCACTGAAGTCACATAGGACTTGATTTCTAGAATGTTATTTTGAATGTTCTTCTAATGAAGTTGGAGGGGATTGCTTAGCATTCTTTCTTTCTGATATGTAATTTTTTGTAGAAGAGGTATACCTGACTTCTCTAAATTGCTTTCCATTACTGAAATAAGATTGAACTTTCATGATGTTCTAATGGATTTCTGTAGCTAGTTATTTTCTTTTTTTATAAATGGTTATCTACGTCAGAGTTGCCTTTGAGGGGATGAAAGAGTTTTGGTCTTTTCTACTGATAATCTATCCTTGATTTAAACTTGTTCATTACTGATTCTGGTTTGGCAGGTTTCTTGAAACTTACCAAAGCCAATGTCATTTTTATTAACTTTGCAAAGCTAGTGTCTTAGCAAGTTAATTTACGAATTCCAGAAAATTGATAACACTTCGTTTAAACGCAAAACAGTGTGATCGGTTGCCATTTGTATTCTTAAGAACTCACCAGCAAAAGAGCAATTTCCAAAATATATAAAAGAGGTTTGAAGAGTGATGTGTATTAAAATTTACTTTTGACCATTGACTATAAAAATTTGAGCTGTCTTGTTATCTTGTATATCTCTAGCTTTATAAGGATTATACCTTGACAATAGTGAATGGACATAATCACCTGGACTTTAGCTTCCCAAGAAATGATTTTTGATCATGAATTATACATAAGCACTTCTTTTCCGGGCTCAAATTTCTTCATAATGAGCTTATGATCATGCTATGTATACTTCTTAAGTTGCTTCTTATACAATTTGACATTTTCATAAGCATCATTTTTAAATTCTTTCAACTCATTTAAATGTACTAGCCTTTTCTCCTTAGCATTTTTAAGATTATAATTTAATTCATTTATCACCGAAAATGCTCTATCCTCTTAACTCTAAGGGTAAGTGTCAAGGTTTTTCAAATATAAGTCTATAGGGAGACATTCCAATTTGGGTTTTGATTATTTTCCTATAAGCTCAAAGCGTATCATCTAATCTCAATGCCCAATATTCCTTCCTATTTGGACTCACAATTTTCTATAAATTATGTTGTTCTCTCTATTACTTATTTAAGTCTTATCATTAGTTTGAGGATAATAAGCACTTGCTATTCAATGTTTAATATCATATTTTAAAATTAAATCATCTACTCTCTTATTACAAAAATGATTCCTTCCATCACTAATAATAACTAGAGATACCCCAAATCTAGAAAATATATTTTTATTTAAAAATTTAATCACTAACTGAGTATCAACTTTAGGTGTCACAACTCACTTAATCCAAATGTAGAAATAGTCAATTGCTATTAATATATTGACTTCCAAAAGATTAAACAATATGACTCATAAAGTCTAGTCCCCAAGCATCAAAGATCTCAACTTCTCGCATGTAACTAAGGGGCATTTCATATTTTTCTAAAATATTTTCTTGCATCTTACATTTATATCACATCTTTTGACATAATCATTCACATCTTTAAATATGAAAGGTCAGCAACTTATAGATTAAAGGATCTTAGAAATAGTTTTAAACCCTCTTAAAGGCCCTTTATATTTAGAATCATGACATTATCTAATAATAGTTTTAAACTCGTCTTCTAATGATTTGATATTTACATCTCCTAAATAAATGTGATTCATCCCAAAAATTAAATTTGGTATCATGCAAAAATTTGCGCTGTTGAAAAAATAACTTATCAAATGGAGGATCACTCCACTCACAATGTAGTTCATAATGTCAGCATACTAAAGAGCACATAATGAATGCAATACAGATAATTTTTCTTTAGGGAAAAAATATCTACATCATTATGAGCAGAATCCTCCCTCTCTAACCTAGATAAATAATTGAATATTTGATTATGAAAACCTTTCTATCTAAAATATTTACATTAAACTCCTAAAGTATTAAAATCCATCTAATTAATCTAGATTTAGCATTTTTTAGTTAACAAGAATTTGATAGCACAATAAAAAGTGAAAATAATAACTTTGATGCCAATTAAATATGATAGAAATTTATCGAATGAAAAGACTATCGCTAGTAATTCTTTCTTAGTTATTGCGTAACTTATTTGTGTTTCATTCAATATTTTACTAGCAAAATATATAGCATGAAATTTCTTGTCTAGTATTTATCCTAAAATTGTTCCAATGGCTTAGTCATTAGCATCACACATTAATTCAAGATTTATATATCATTGAGATGAAATGATAACATGTTCAATAACTAAGCTCCTCTTAATTTTTACAAATGCAGTAAATATTATGATTTGAATTCAAACGGAACATCCTTCCCATGGCATAAGGATTTCATAATTTTAGAAAATATGTTATAAATATTTTATGAAATAGGTATGACCTAAAAAACTTTAGACTTTCTTTAAAGAAGTAGGAGGTGGAAAATTCTCAATCCATTAATTCTTTTCCTTGTTGACCTCTATACCCCTCTTAGAGATTTTATGTCTGAGGATAATGCCTTAACAAAAAATTAGTATTTTTCTCAATTAAGAACAAGGTTAATTGTCTCACTTCTCTTCAAAAAGAGTTATAAATGCTCTAAACACACATCAATTATTTTAAAGATAAAAAATTGTCCATAAAGATTTTAACATCTTGCTCTATTAAATACAAAAAATAGACATCATACATTTTTGAAATATTTTAGGGACATTGCATAATCCAAAAGGCATCATCCTAAATGCAAATGTACTAAACAGACCGTTGAACATAGTTTATTCTTGGTCTTCTAATGCTATAGAAATCCGATGGTAATTAGAATAGCCATCTAAGAATTAGTACAAAGGGTGGCCTACTAACCTATGTAATATTTGATCAAGAAAGGGCAATGGAAAATGGTCTTTCATAGTAGGTTTTGCGCAACTTCTTATAATCAATGCATATTCTCCAACTTGTATCCATCCTAGTGGAAATCAATTCATTTTTTGCATTGGCTATAACAGTTAGACCTCCTTTCCTTAGGATGTAATGAATGGGACTCACCCAAGCACTGTCTAAAATGGGATATCACCAACAACGATCCAACCAAAAGCTTTCTTATATGTATTAAGAACTCCAATCAACTTAACTTTTTAATCTTCTCCAAGCTTAGCATAAATAATGACAAGTAATGTTAACTATCCACCTAAGAAAGCATTCTTTAAATGGGAAAGCAAGGATTTTAATTCAAGAATGGGCACCTTTATAACATATGGTTTCAAGGGCTTTCTTAGAGATGATGTATCTAGCACTTTATACCTCTCCTTAAACATTCTTGGGGCTTCACAAACCCATGAATAGAATCTCCATCCACCTCTCCTACGTCATCCCCATTTAATGAACTCTCTAAAGAGATATGAATCAATAATTCTTCCAAAAAAATCTCCATATAATCATCCACTAAATACAATTTATGAGTATCCTTGATAAGATCCTTAGGAAACTTTGTAGACTTGAAAACATTAAAGGTAACTTCCTAATTCTGAACCTTCATATTCAATTCTCTCTTTTACACATCAGTCATAGCCCTACTTATTATAGAGAAAGGTCTATCCAAAAGAATGGGTATCTTCCTATCTTCCTCCATGTCTAAGGTAATGGAGTCAATTAGGAAGATAAATTTATCTACCTTGACTAACAAATTCTCTATCACCCCTTTGAATAAGTGAAGGAATGTTTTGTTAACTTAAGGGTATCAGTGGTGGGTTTGACTTCTCCTAAGTCAAGTCTCTTGAATATGGACAAGGATATAGATTTATGCTATCTCCTAAGTCACATAATGCCCTCCCATAAAATTATCCCCTATAGACATAGGAATGATAAAACTATATAGGTCCTTAATCTTCTGAGGAGTTTATATTATAAGATTACACTACATTACTTAGTTAGGGAAATAGTTTTAAAGTCCCCTAATTTTCTATTCTTGTTTAATATGTCTTTCATGAACTTAGCAAAGGTAGGCATCTTCTCTAAGGCTTCAACAAATGGAATATTAATAGACAACATTATAAATATTTCAAAAAATATAAAAGACCATCTATTTAAATTTTGCTTTCATAATCTTTAGGAAAATGGTGGTGATGGTCTCTGAAGATCCTTCTAATGGAGTTTTGAACTTCCTTATTAGATTGAGGTTATTCTTCTAGCTTGGTGTGTTCTACAGGTGCTTCTATAGATGTATCCTCCTTAGGTTGATCCTTATTCCTAACTAATTCTAACTCTCTATACCACTCTTCAATTGAATAGCTTTGCACTACTCCTTTCCTTTTTCTTTTGTATTGCTCCTTTCCTTTTTCCATAGAGTTTACATCTATATCGTTAGGAAAGGCACCCTAGGGTCTATTATTTATGAAACTAGCTAACTACCTTACTAATTTTTAATGTTTCTTATAGTAGCAACTTGACTCTATAATTGGGTCTCCAATTATAAAACTAGGCCTTTCAAAGAAGTTTTCTTTTTCTTAAATTAATTATTGGAATTGAATCTATGAGGTAATTAGGCCTTGGTTTTCCAAATTACTATTGAGGTGGGTTCCAGGTTCCTACTTGGTTGAGTTGGCTAGAATTCCATTGATTACCCCTATTAGGATTATTATTCTATTAAAAATTGGGATGATTCTTTCAACCTAGATTGTAAGCAGTAGAATAAGGGTTATTTTGCTTGTTATTAATGTCATTTAAGAATTCAAGCACATAGGTATTTAGGTTATAAAATATTTCATATATATTATCTTCTATTAACATGGGTGTGCATTGGGATGCATTAACTCCAATATTATCTAATTGCTTAGAGATAGTAGCTATTTGTGTAGGCAAAATTTATAAGGCATCTAATTTATCTACAATAGGCAAATTTTAAGGGTTCACTCTTGTCACGACCCAACCCGACCGGGACGAATCCCGCTCGCATCGGGTCGCGACACAGCCAACAAATCCAGGATCTGGCTTTGGAATTTGCTTCAGAACTTTCTTCCAAATATAACACAGACAGAAAAACACAGAGCTACTAT